TATATGTACGAACATAACCAACAATACCTAACCTAACCTAACCTAACCTAACCTAAACTAACATAACTAAGTCAATAATTTATGAACCTAATATAATATAATAATTCAAATAACCAGTTGATTTTTTTCTGGGCAATAAAAGAAAATCACTCGATCTATTACGCAAATCGACCCTTGCATAGTAGGCCGAGAAGTGCGTTTTGGCTACTAGGTACGAACATATATATATATATATATATATATATATATATATATATATATATATATATATATATATATATATATATATACATATATATATATATATATATTATACGAGAGAGAGATCAAGGCTTCTAAGTTACTTAATAATTAATGTATTAAAATGTCGAGCATGGGTGAGAGAACACGGGGTAAGGGAGCACGGGTCAGGGAGGGAGCGGGGTAAGGGAGCACTGGTGAGGGAGGGACCGGGGTAAGGGAACACTGGTGAGGGAGGGACCGGGGTAAGGGAGCACGGGTGAGGGAGGGACCGGGGTAAGGGAGCACTGGTGAGGGAGGGACCGGGGTAAGGGAACACTGGTGAGGGAGGGACCGGGGTAAGGGAGCACGGGTGAGGGAGGGACCGGGGTAAGGGAGCACGGGTGAGGGAGGGACCGGGGTAAGGGAGCACGGGTGAGGGAGGGACCGGGGTAAGGGAGCACGGGTGAGGGAGGGACCGGGGTAAGGGAGCACGGGTGAGGGAGGGACCGGGTAAGGGAGCACGGGTGAGGGAGGGACCGGGTAAGGGAGCACGGGTGAGGGAGGGACCGGGGTAAGGGAGCACGGGTGAGGGAGGGACCGGGGTAAGGGAGCACGGGTGAGGGAGGGACCGGGGTTGGGATCAACACGGGATCATAAACAGGTGGGAGTGTAAAAGGTGAGAGGTTAGGTTAATGTTTAATGCCGGGTGTTTCCTGCCCCGTGCTGGTCTGGTCTATGCTTCTATCTTAACCCCCTCTTCCTCTCTCTGTCTAGGTGCTGCTATCCTGCCCTCGCCTCCCCTACCTCCCTCTCTCTCTCTCTCTCTCTCTCTCTCTCTCTCTCTCTCTCTCTCTCTCTCTCTCTCTCTCTCTTCCCCATCTCTCTCTCTCTCTCTTTCCCCCTCTCTCTCTCTCTTTCCCCCTCTCTCTCTCTCTTTCCCCCTCTCTCTCTCTCTCTCTTTCCCCCTCTCTCTCTCTCTCTCTTTCCCCCTCTCTCTCTCTCTTTCCCCCCTCTCTCTCTCTCTCTCTCTCCTCTCTCTCTCCTCTCTCTCTCTCCTCTCTCTCTCTTTCCCCTCTCTCTCCCTCTCTCTCTCTCTCTTTCCCCTCTCTCTCTCTCTCTCTCTTTCCCCTCTCTCTCTCTCTCTCTCTTTCCCCTCTCTCTCTCTCTTTCTCTCTCTTTCCCCTCTCTCTCTCTCTCTCTTCCACCCCCCTCTCTCTCTCTCTCTCTCTCCCCCCTCTCTCTCTCTCTCTCTCTCTCTCTCCCTCTCTCTCTCTCTCTCTCTCTCTCTCTCTCTCTCCACACACACACAAACGGCACTGGAAGACTCAATGGTTAGGGGAGATATGATAACCCATTACAAAATTCTCCAGGAATTTGATAGTATAGACAGGGTCAAATTATTCGAGTTAACTGACACAGAGAAGTGGACACAGATGGAAACTGAGCTCTCAGATGAGTTATAACGAGTCAGAAGGAATTCGTTCAGCGTCAGAGTAGTGAAAAGATGAATGTATTTCGAAGTCGTGCAGGGACTCCATTCTTTTGACAATGTAGATATGAGAGAGAGAGACTGTGGGCTCACCGTAGCCCGTGCTACCAGGAACTTTTTGTTCCAGCTAGCAAATCTTAAACAACAATAGTAGATATGATGTAGTCTAATTTGCTCTGACACCTGTACAGCAGTTGATCCATGATATTACAGGTGGTACCCAAGAGCCGAAGGTCAACCTTCCCCGCACAAGACCAATTAACTAAGTACACAGCCCATGTTCCAGGGTGTCTAGCGACGGTTTACATGTTCTGGCACAAATTTAAGTTTGAAGTTCTCGCGACCTCAAGGGTCAGGCTACAGGAAGTACCACACTAGGAATTTCTCCCCCCAATAATAGCAGGGGAGGTTAATGATATGAATGACATACAGTGAGGCTCCAAGCTGTATTTAGACTACCTAGTGAGGCTCCTCCGAGCTCTCTAATTTATACACGACTTAGAACCTCATTACGTAGTCTATACAAGGCTCGGTGTCTCATTAGATAGTCTTTTCACAGCTCGGAGTTTCATTAGGTAGTCTATATATATATAGCTCGGAGCCTCATATGGTAATCTATACCTGTAGCCCGTCCTCCAAACAAAGATCCAAAAGTGATTCCATGCACCCGACAAACCCCCTGTTTATGAATGAAAAGCGGTTTACACACGACTCACAACTGCTGACGTTCGAACATATCCGGAACAAGTGCTTCACTGACGAATTTTGTTCGAATCACAACGCTATAAATGCTTCACCCACGTACTACAAATACAAATAATCGCCAACAGAACCTAAACACCTAGCCTATCCTATGCCTATATATACACAATATGCTAATATATTATGATATTAATTTATACTTGATAAATTTCCCGTTTTGAATGAACAGCATGTTAACATTTATGAATGCGTCTGTGGGGTCGACCGCTGAATGTAATGGACTTGAGTCGAGGACGGGTTGATACCTGATAACGTTCCGGGTTTTGCCTAAACTACCCAGTTACTGCCTACAGTAACACCAGGAGCATGCTGGAATTTTGTCTTATGAAATAAAATAAATAATTAACAGGGACAACATATTAATAAGCAGATGCGACGATTCAAATGTTTGTTGTGGCACTTTATCAGGTGATCATGAAGACTAATCAACACGATGAAGGGTATAATTACCTTATTCAGCAAATCTAAATCTAAAATAAAGACAGGGATCT